GGATCTCACAATTCACCCTTTCGGGACCCAGCGTCGTGGCTGCCACACCGCTCTAAACTTGAATTTGATACCATTTATAACAACCCAAGCTCATTGCTAGTAGATATTGTCCATTTTACCCGTTATGTATTGTCGTTAGCCTCACAATTTAAAACGTGTCTACTATGGAGAAGTTTCTACGCGTTTATAAGGATTGTCTTATTAACCGTGAGATTGACGATGATAAATAACAGGCAAAAGCAGACAATATCTACTGGCGAGGAATTTGGGTGGTTAGATTTATAATAAAACTTTTACCATAATTTTTTTTTTTCATACTCCTTTATGATTAAATTGTAAATTTTGTCCGTATGAAATTTAACAAAATTTAAATTTAGTTTCTATAAGGCTCCATGTCTATGATTTGAATCTGGATTTATCGTTCGATGGTTCTGACATTCTCTGCAACCTAAACTAAACTAGTTTTTGTTGTTGATTCTTCGTTTCGAAATGAAGAAGACAATACGTGGTCGATGGAGGGTGACGATGAAAACACGATCAGCTGCCTCCTTTTCTTACCTACTCATATTTGGTGTTCATAATACTCATAATAATGCTGGCAAGCATAAATGAGTCAAGAGGATGCACACGAGGATACCCCCACTAAACCATTCTCATGCTTTGATTTCAGCCCTAAAGGCCGCATACAACACAAGTGAACATCATCGTCCCATTTTGAGGAGCATCCTTGTCGTTGTTCTATCTCGGATCATCATCATCATCATCATCGTACGTCTAGACTCCTGGTCAATCGACTAGAAATCAGCTGGTAAGCCCTTGAATTTGACCATCAAGTTCTCAATTTTCGTGGATTCTTCTTGTTAATTACCTCATGTTTCTTAACTTCCCGCATCACCACGGTCAAATTCATTGGGGTGTTAAGATTGTCGTCGTAGTTCGGTTACTATCATTATGCTTCGTCATCGTGGGTCGTCATAGATCGCCAAAGTTGAAGAATAAAAGGAAACGTATGATTTAACTTGATTTAGAAATGCTTGAGTTTGCGATCGGCACATTTTCATTTTTCTATTTTAAAGTTGATGTTGATATTTATATGATATCAAAATCGAGTGAATCTAGAGTGAGAGAAAGTCAAGTAATTTAGAATAACTTTTATTGAATAGGTGCATATTCATAAGAATACTCGAAGTTTAATAACTAAATTTATAGTTTAATACTCGAAATCTTATTGACTCACGTTTATGATTTTAATCGATACCATCATTAGTTTGAAGTTTTAAGTGATACCTCCTCAAAGTTTAGACATATAAATTAATCTTACCCTATATTATTTTTTTAGTTAAATTAATAAAAAAAAATACTCCTAAACTTGTTACTTTATTTCAAAAAATACTTCTAAAACTTTAAAAAATTTCAACTTTCAAACAAAAAATAATCTTGAACTTTAAGGTGTGTTTAAAAAATATTATAGAACTTTAAAATACCAGACAATATTATACCATTGTTAATATGAACCCTGATATCTTAATCATGCAACTTTAATGAAAATGAGTTTCATTCATCTTCAAATAGTTACAATGGTTTACGTTGTATGTTTATAATGATTTAAACTTGACATGATCAATCTTGCTTGTGAAGTGATTTAAATCTCAAACAGATGTTCTTGTCTTGAGATATTCGATAAACAAGGTAATTCGAATCTTACTTTCCGTTCGAATGATTTCCTATCGTTTTGAGGTTTTTGGATATATTTAGATTTAAAGGTTTTATTTTTCAATAAAGTTGTTAAATCAATTTTCGAAGAGTTGCAATCATTTGGAATAAAATAAAATTGATTTCGGGTTTTAGCATTTAAGGGTTTCTATATCCAAGCGCTTATAAAAGTTCTTAGATTCAACTGGTTGGAGTTTCCATATCAATTATGAAGATCTATAGCTACTGGTATTAGACAGAGATAAATCGAACCAATTCATATATATATCGAGACTACTAACACCCCTACTAATTACGTCCATTGCTAAGGAGGAGAGTTTTTAGGCTAATTGGCCTAGGCCCAAAGGTCAAGCTCCATGTACGTTAGAATAAAACCAAATCCATAGAACGTGTGTTAGAATCTCTAGGCCTAAAAGGTCTATAAAAGGTTGGTATTATACTCGAAGAGCACTGTAACAGTCAAAATCCATCATTAGTAGATATTGTTCGTTTTGATTTTACATTCTTATAAATCTTTCGACTTTTTTAACCAATGTGGGATCTCACAAGCACGATAACACTATTGTTTTGGATCAAAATTGTCGCATCGAGCTCGTTTTTATTGGTTAATGAACACTTTGGTTTGAAATAGCAAGGTGTGGACACTCGATTCACCTCGAGAAGTGAAGATTTAGTGTTTAGGTGGTTTGTGGACAGTACAACCTCGGTAGATGTTCATAAAAAACCGGGGTGTTAAAAGACCATGACGATGATGATTGGTTACTTTATGAGCTGTTTTAGTCAACCTTTTGGTACACCAAAAATTAAGCGCCATTTGGTCAACCCAACTCGTTTGAATTTTTTTGAACTAAAAATGTGTTTTTTAAAAACAATCTCAAAATCACCCTCTTTTTCTTTTTTCTTTTTCTAATAATATTTCAATTTTTTAAAAAATGGCCTTTTTAATTTTAGTTCCCTCCCTAATTTTTAACTTATATCTAATAATACTCGTGGATAATAAATGTTAAATAGTTTTGTTGAATGCCCACTCCGGTTCCTTTCTATACATGTCGAACACCCGACATGTGCATCAGCTGTCCAAGTTTACAAAGGCTCGTCAGATCATCTATTGAATATTTGAATTATTTTTTTTTTTGAAACAAAAGTTTTAAAAGAAATTTAAAACATTATGACATACATACAGTCCCACTTTTTTTCTTTCTAACAATACCTTAAGTCAACTGCAAGTATAATTGTCAAAGGAAAATTGAATTTTGAACAAAAAGAAATTAAAAAGGAAGAAAAAAGAATTAACCAACCTCTCTCAACAAAGTCTAACCTTTTTTCAGATGCTTTAGCAAAAGACTACTAAAAAGAAAAAGAACAAAAAGGTCAAATTAATTAATTAATATATAAAATAATAATATTAATGTAATTAATTGTTATTTATTTTCTTCGAAGTAATGGTGGGATGTATCGAGACGAGTATTGATTAAGCTATGAAGTTCACATTTATTTTATGTTTAGAATGTTTTTTTTTTTTTTAATTTTAGTTGAAGTGGGGTGTATATTTTCTAATTTGTATTTTCATTTTCGTTTGAATAAATTTTACTCTAAAAAATTATTTTATTTTTAATTATAATAAATATCATTTTTCTTAAATTTTTGTCTGATTAAATATAAACTTTATGCAAAATTTTATAGTGTAATGATCTAGTCGACATAAAATTATTATTTGTCATATGGTTGCAATAATTAATATATTAATTTATATAGTTATTAACCTTTTATATAATTTTAAAAGTAACAATTATAAAATATTTATTAATCTGAAAATTAATAAATTATTATATTTAGGTCGTACCCGAAATCTTGTTTTTTTGTTTTTTTTTTTTCCTTTAATTGTGTCTTAATTCCGTATTAAAATTTAAAATATTAAATGAATTAATTTTTTGTTTTTAGAAAAAAGGGGGGGAAAGAGAGAGGGTGTGGGCACGTGAGGAGGAGGAGGGACGGTGCTTTGAAATTAACATTTGACTTCTAAAATTCAATTAAAACAATTAAATTAAATTAAGAGATTAGTCCTCATTTTTCAAACCTTGTCAGAAAAATCGTGAATGTCTGACTTTTTTATTTGTTTGTTTTTTTAATTAAAATAAATCATTTTTTGTCCGCGCCAACTCCGCTATTGTTGTATTCAATTTTTTGGTATATTAACTCAAATTTTAAGAGCAAAATGCTTATTAAATCAACCTTAAAAAGAGATATTATTAAATTTGTTAAAGATATTTTATATTTTTCAATAATAGTTATGGAATAATAAGTTTATTTGAAATTATTTAAGAAAATAGATAATAATTAGAGGCAAATATTTGTGGAACCCAAATAAAATAAAATTTTTAAAAAATCTTTTTCTTTCCCAACTTCACTCCATAAACATCTTTTTCTTTTTTTAAAAATTTTTGGACCAAAATTGTTTAGACTGACCTGACTAGACAACCAAATAAAATTCATAAACAGTCCATCTAACCTAATAGCCCAAGCTCATGACTATCAGATATTGTTTTCTTCGAGCTTTCTCTCCTGAGCTTCCCCTCAAAGTTTTAAAACACGTTACTAGGGAGAAGTTTTCACATCCTTGTAAGAATGTTTTGTTCTCATCTCTATCAAATCCTTTGAGGCCTAGCGTCCTCTCTGATACTCGTTCTCCTCTCCAATCGATGTGGGATCTCACAATCCACCCCCTTCAAACCCCAACATTGTTCCTCTCTTTAATCAATGTGGGATCTCACAACAACACATTAACAACATCGGTTACAAACGTCAAATATTATTAATTTTCAAAATAATCTTAAAAGGTACATGAGTTGGGTTGAGTTAGATTGTTACCCTATTTATGAGTTAGTCGAATCAACCCAATAAAAAAAAATTGATCCGCAGACCGACTCAATGTTCAATTTTTCAAAAATTTAACTCAACCAAAATATATATACGGGTATAATAGTCTAAGTCGGTCAGATTCTCAAGTCCCATGAATACCCTTATTTTTATCGACTACATTTATTTGCTCATTGCTAGTCGTGTGGACGAGTAATACCTCAGAATTCTTCCTCGTTTTACCTTCCTTCTTAGGATCCCTTTCCTTAAACTTGTTTTGACTTATCTTCTTACGTTATTAACATGGTACCTTAAAAGGAGAAGATGAAGAAAGAAGAAAAAAAAAAGAAAAATAAAAAAATAAATATAGTTGTAATTTAGAGGGAAAAAAAATAATAAAAAAGGATTAAATTTGGAGTGAGAGGAAACACACGGCATTTGGAGTCCTGAAATCAAAACGGAGGGGTTTTGTTGCGTAGCTGTTTGTCCGCCGTATCTCCCCGTTCGGTTTTTGAATTTCCTTCGTTTCTCTTCTTCCTTCTCCAATTTCTATAAAACTCCGACGACTCCGTCACTTACCCCTCCATTCTCCTTCACTCTCTCGAAAATGGCGGTCGCTTCCAGACCCACACTCACAGACCTTCAAATCCCCAAGCTATGGAAGCACCACAGAGACATTAGTCCTGAACGCACCAAGGTCTGGACTGAGCCCAAGCTCCGCTCCGACAGAAGGGTTCCGGTCGTTTACTATCTATCCAGAAATGGCCACCTCGAACACCCTCATTTCATGGAGGTTCCTCTTTCCTCCTCCGAAGGCCTTTATCTCAGAGGTTCCAAATCCTTCTCTTCCATGGCCTTTATTTCCGATTTCCTTCCATCGTTACTGCTTTGTTTTTTTACTTTTGTCTCTTTTGAAATGTTTCTGTTCTTCAGATGTTATTAACCGTCTTAATCTTCTTCGAGGAAATGGTATGGCGAGTGCTTACTCTTGGTCATCGAAAAGGTGAGTTCAATGGCGGTTTTCGTTTTTCTGGTTCAATTTGCGGTTTCTTTGACTGTGAATCTGATTTCTAGGGTTTGAATTTGTTTTAGGAGCTACAAGAATGGTTTCGTGTGGCATGATTTGTCTGAGAATGATTTCATTTATCCATTGCATGGTAAAGAGTATGTTCTGAAAGGATCGGAGCTTCTTCATTCTTCCTTAGATAGCCGAGTTCAAGGCTCCGTGTCTTCGAGATCTTTGAGGCCTCCAGAGATTCATAAACTCGTCGGCGAAGAGTCCGATTCTCCGATTCTCTCTCGTCGGCTTAACCAGTCGTGGAGCTCCGTCGACTTCCATGAGTATAAAGTCTACAAGACGGATTCGAGCTCCGACTCGTCGGCCAAAGCTGCCGCGGCCGATGCTTCGACTCAGACCGACGAGAAGCACCGGCGGAGAAGACGAGTGGGGAGGGAAGAAGAGAAGGAAGAAAAAGAAACAGAGGAGGTCAATGGTGAATCAAACTCTACGCCGAGTACAGAGCTCAGTAGAGAAGAAATATCTCCTCCACCGTCGGATTATAGCCCCGAAACTCTCGAATCTCTGATGAAAGCCGACGGGCGTTTGATCATTTCCGAAGCCGTAAACACGAATCGGACGACGGAAAGTTTTCCGAGTGGGAGGATGAAGGCATCGGCGGTTTTGATGCAATTAATCTCCTGTGGATCGATCTCGTTCAAGGACTGTGGAGCAACATCAATGGAGGGTCAAGAGTTCTCAGTCTGTAAATCCAGAGTGCCTCGCGGAGATGGGAAAGAAGGAGCAGGGACATCGACCGGCATTGTAGGTTTCTCGGGGGTAAGATTAGAAGACAAGGAATATTTCAGCGGAAGTCTAATCGAAACTCAGAAAGTTAAGGAGGCTCCAATGGCTCTGAAGCGGTCATCCTCTTACAATGCAGATAGGTAAGATTTCTGGTTCCTTTGGTTACTTTTCGAGTCTGAATTTTCTTGTTGATTCTCTGCCTGAGGCCGATGGGCAACCATTGGATTTGGCTGTAAGATTCGTACGGAATTGGGAAAAAGAAAAGTAGACTGAAATCAACTTTCATTTTGTTTGTAGCGCTGCAATAGTGATGAACCCTTTTGAATTGTTTGTTTCCTAATCTAACAAAACAGGAACTGTAGGTTGCAGATTGCCCTCCTTTCTAGCTTCATTCATTCATTCATTCCATAGTTCGCAGATGATTTGAAAATTCTGAGAATTCCCTCTATCTATCTGTTTGTTTAATGATCCAAGTAGGATTAGGATATTGAATTGCAGAGCTCTTAGTTACATTTGGGACTGCCCTCCATCTGTTTGATTATATGTCCCAAAGAGAGGACAATTTGAAGAATAACTCTGTTGCCCATTTGTCTGGGACAGAGAGCCTAGCTCGCTTTCACAACCCCACATGGGGTTTTTTCCGCCTCCTTTTTGCCGCTTGCTTTGTAGCATCATTGTTAAAATATTCCACAAACTAGATTGCATTGTCATTGTGAATGATTGGGGCATGGTAGAAACTGAGGAATTCATCTAAATTTCAGGGGGTCACAGATGCAACTCTCTGAGAAGGAGATCGACCAAGGACGACGTGCAAAATGCATACCAAGAAAGCACAAGGGAACAAGCCAGGCAACAAAGAAAGAGAGCAACAGCATGATCACCAGCAGCAGCAGCAATAGTGAACATGGAAGCAAAAGAATTGACAATGAACAAACAATGAGAGATCTCAGAGATAGATTAGACATCCATCTATGAAGCAACTCAACTCAACTCAAAGGCACCCATCCACCGCACAAGCATTGGAGTGAACAAGGGGTGATGAAAAGAGGTATTAATCACGAAATTGGCACAAGTTTTGTTGGATTATGGGTCTTGTTTTGGAGTAAGAGAAGAATAGAACAGAACAGAACAGAACAGGAGGTGGTGGTCACGGGTCACGAAAAGACGTGAGTTCTTCTTGAGTTGTAAATTGGGGGAATGCATTGTAATTGCATTATTATTGTCATTTACCCACACAACTGCCCAGTTTTTGCAGCAAAATAGAAGAGTCGTGGAGCAGCAGAGGAGAGGGGGGGCAGTTTCTTCTCTGCTCTGCTTCATGGCTCCATTATCAACGCCTCTCAGCCTCTCCCGCCCCCTTCGATTGTGACGTTTCGCCAAATATTTGAATGTTGAGCCCAAGAAAAAGCAAAAAAAGCAAAGTATAAATGTCCAAAAAAACTCAATAATTTCCAGGTAAGTCAGGGGCTTCATGCAGAACTTCCAAAATCTGAGGAAAACAACAAAACACCTCTAAATGTCTTCTCTTTTTTTCTCTCTCTCTCTCTCTACATATCAACCAATTTCCTATTGAGAAATGAATTTTTTTAATGATTTTTCAATTACAAATTAAAAATTGCAACCATTATTAAAGCTGTATAGATGTATGTATATATATTATTCAACCACATGCTTTAATAAATTCAATTCATTAATGATTGAAACTCAAAACTATAGTGCACGTGGAACAATAAATGTATAAAATTATTGATATTTATGTATTCTCGTATCCGTTCAATTAATAAAATTATCTCTAAATTTTATACTTTCAAGTTCAATAATGCTTTTAAATTTTAAAAATAATTAAAAAAAATCTAGAATACGATAACTTAATTTTGAAAACTAACAGTAATATTTTTTTTATTCTGTAATCTTATATGTATCAATATTATTAAGATATAATATTTAGAGAATATATTATAATAATTAGTTATGAAATATATCTTAGATAATTATTAATATTTTATTTTAGAATTTGATTAGTAGTATATTTTATCTTATTCGGAAGATTTAGTTAGTCTATATTTTTTTCACTATTTGGTAGCTTGTATCTTCTTGTGAACATTAATGAAGATGATATTTTTAATCCCCTTTTATTTTTCATTCTTAACGATCAAACTCATAATTTATGTTTAAAACTCATGATTTAAATCATTCAATAAAAATAGGGTAAGATTTGTGGACAATATGTGAACATACAATAAACTTTATTATTTCAATTTAGTCAAATTTGATGAAGAACTATTGTAATGTTAAATTAACTCAATTTGAATGAAATCATAGGAACAACCTTATAATTCCCAATTTGAAACCCATTGAATAGAATAGGTGAGAGGATTTATGAACATCTCCGCCGTCAGATTTGTGTAGTAGCAAAATACATCCGCTTCATCTCATTCGCGAACCAACCCCATCTCTCATGGACCCAAAACGCATTGATTTTGAGTGAGTTTTGGCAATTCAAAGTGCGGCCCGATCTTTATCCACTGCATGTGCCACAAAACCCAACTCCTGCTTTGCTTTTACCAAATTTGAAGAATCCGTGTGCGATTTTCGGGAATATTATGTGTCCTCTTTACTGATGGCTCCTCAGCTTCATCCGTAGTATTCTCGCTTTTCCCTCGCTGTGGCTAATGGGTCCAATCAGAGGGTCGAGAAAGAAGAAGAAATTAGAGAGAAAGCTCGATGCCAATGCCAGTACTGCTTCAGATTCCTCTGAAAAGGACGACGCCCTTGATTGGTGGGACGATTTCTCTAGAAGAACCATTGGTATTTTGTTTCTATCTTTTCTTTTAATTTCTTGATTTCTTCCGGAGTTCTTGCTCGATGCATTTGGGCGCAATAACATAGCCATCGGTTCTGTTTACAAGATTTTCCTCTAATCATTTAACCTTTTGAAACAACTGATTTGAACTCGGTTGACTTACGTTGACAGTGCCGCTTGCGTAGGGTAGTTTACTGATTCTGCTACTTCGATTGTGTAAAGACGCATGAACTCGTGTTTATAGTTTGTATGCATCGATGAGTTTCTGTGGTGATTCTGTTTCAGGATTTGGATCTGTTTTCTGTGATGGTAATGCTTGGGATTTGAAACGAGGCCTTGTGTTTGAGTTTGGTGTGTTAGTGTTGAATTTATGAAGGGATTTGATTATGCTGCTTGATTGTTCCTTTTTATGAGCCATGAGTAGATGATTTAGTTGAGGATAGATCTTCATAGATGCAATTGTGTATGACATAATGTTTGAAATTTCGAAGAGGATCATATACGATTCGGGTTCGGTTTTTGGGTTCATCTTGGATTTTAACTTCATTTTCCTTATGTTATTAGTACGACAAATGTGGGTCGGAATTTGAACTTTCAATGTCGAGCGAAGGAGTATATGCTTATACGATCGAACTATACTCTCGTTGTTCTTAGTTTATTGTCATTTCTCCACAAATTCTACTGCTAGATCTTTGAAAAACAAGGTGGCTACCATATACTAGGATGGGATGGTTATATATTCTTATGCGTGTTCTCGGTACAAATCTTTCGGTATGTATCGACGTCCAAGGTCTACATGTATTAGGTTTGCCTGTTTAGGACATACAACAATTCCCTCCACCAAGACTACACTCTGAAGTATGGACAAGAAGCTTGTTTTGGCATCCTTTTCTAATCCTAGAGACTGTAGTGAATTTATGATATGCATATTCCCCCCTCTCTATCTATGTGAAATCTGATTCTAGAGATTATATTTTGAAGTGTTGAGACAACTATAGTAGAGTAAGATAGACATGATGGACTGATGTAAAAAGAGGTGAGGGTGGGTCGGAGAGTCGGAAACGAAAATGTGGGTTTTCAGCAGAATCTAGTTATTCAATTAAGCTATATTAATCACTTGGCACGATATACTATAACAGTTCAAGCTCACCGCTAGCATATATTGTCTTCTTTGAGTTTTCCCTTTCGAGCTTCCCTTCAAGGTTTTTAAAACACTTATGCTAGGGAGAGGTTTCCACACCCTAATAAAGAATGCTTCAACTCCTCCCCAACTGATGTGGGATCTCACAATCCACCTCCTTCGGGGCCCAGCGTCCTAGTTGGCACTCGTTCCGTTCTCCAATCGATGTGGGACCCCTCAATCCACCCCCTTCAAGACTCAGCGTCTTTGTTGACACACCGCCTTGTGTCCACCTCCATTCGGGCTCAGCCTCCTCGCTGGCACATCGACTGGTGTCTGGCTTTGATCCCATTTGTAACAGCCCAAATCCACTATTAGTAGATATTATCCTCTTTGGGATTTTCCTTTCGGGCTTCTACTCAAGGTTTTTAAAACGCGTCTGCTAGGGAGAGGTTTCCACGCCCTTATAAAGAATGTTTCGTTCTCCTCCCCAACCGATGTAGGATTTCACATATACATTCTCGTTGTTTCGAATGGACTTCAATGTCATTACATGATACTTATGTTGTTTATCAATTTCTCGGGTTTTCTATTAAACATATTTGAAACCAATGAATATCCATTTTCATTACAGTGCAAGATGCAAAACTAATCATACTGGGCATGAATATCTGGATCTCGTATTTGGTATTTTGGTGACGTGCTCGGTCGTCTAGTTTGATAATATTGGTTACCTTTTCATGGCTCCATTTCCATGCAGGTCTTCATTCTGAATTAGAAGGGTTGGATGGATTCAAATCAATTTTCAAGGTCTCGAGAAAGACTTTTGATTACATATGTTTGCTTGTCAAAGACGACATGACAGCGGAATCCAGTAATTTTACGTTTTTAAATGGTCGGCCATTATCTCTATATGATCAAGTAGCTGTAGCTTTAAGAAGGCTGGGTTCGGGTGATTCATTAGTGACGATCGGGTATTCGTTCGGATTGAACCACTCGACTGTATCTCAAGTCACATGGCGGTTTGTGGAGTCGATGGAAGTAAGGGGACTCCGCCATCTTCACTGGCCTTCAACCGAAGAAGAAATGGCTCAAGTGAAACTAAAATTTGAGAAAATACAAGGCCTCCCAAACTGTTGTGGTTCAATCGACACCACTCACATCACAATGTGTCTGCCTGTTTTGGATCCTACAAGCAATGTATGGCTTGATGCAGAGAAAAACCACAGCATGGTCTTACAAGTGATCGTCGACGCCGAAATGAGGTTTCGAGACATAGTAACTGGATTGCCTGGAAAAATGTCGGATTGGTTAGTTTTTCAGAGTTCGAACTTCCACAAGCTCTGCGAAAAGGGGGAGAGACTGAACGGGAAGCGGTTAGAGTTCATCAACAGGTCGGAAATCAGAGAATACATAATTGGAGATTCGGGCTATCCCTTACTTCCCTATCTTGTCACTCCCTATGATGGAAAAGAACTCCAACCATCAAAAGCCGAGTTTAACAAGCGACACACAGAGACTCGGTTGGTGGTGCAACGAGCCTTAGCTAGCTTAAAAGAGCGATGGAGGATCATTCAGGGAGTGATGTGGAGACCCGATAAACATCGGTTGCCAAGGATCATTCTAGTCTGCTGCTTGCTTCATAACATTATCATTGATGTCGGAGACGAGATGGAGGATGGCAACGTTCCGATGTCTATGGAACACGACGCTGATTACAAACAACAGATTTGTGATGTTTATGACTCAAAGGGTGCATATCTGAGAGATAAATTGTCTTTGCTCTTCATCTAAAAACTAAAGCTTCCTTACCATCTTGACTATTCTTTTACATTTTACAAAGTTTATATAATGAAGTTAAGCTGTGCCTCTTGTACATACCAATTAATGCTTTAATAGAGTAGTGATTGATGCGTTTATTCAGCTCCCGGTTGGACTGCTGCTAAGTTTCTTCGATGGTTCGGTTGGTTTGGTTGGTTCGGTTCATCAATTGACGTTAAATTCCATAAAGCATATTCCACGATTATGATCATTTTCAAATTTATTATACTTTTAGATTTCTACAATTGATTTGAGTTTATGTACTTGTTCTTCAAGTTATGATGAAAAATCAAAGTACAATTTCGTGGAAAATTATACATTTTTTTTTCTTTAATATCCATTACACGAGAAAAGTTTTGACCTTTTTCCGGTTGTTAATGTGAATTCACATCTATATTCACATTTTTTGAAAATAATATCAAGACATTTTTAATTTGATTGACTAGTCTCGTGTGCTTTACTAGGTATTGTAATCAGGGTCAACGATCATTTACGTCACGGACAACACGATGAGCTTAACTTCCACTGAAATGTTAAAAATCTCTTCGACTCCGCTTTAGTCATTAATGAGCCGATGAGCCAGATCGGTGAAGTCAATCAAAGAATGGATGAGAAGCATAAAATCCCTCTAGATCGTTTCACTTTTCGGCAGGAATCGAACCAACGCTAGAGGATATAAACCAGATATAATTCGACTTTTTGTTACATCTTCACAGACATGAAGAGAGGTACTACACTCGGATCACACCCAAATGCCCAAAAAATTGTCAAAAGTGGATTATGGTCAATAAATATTTATTTTTTGGACAATAATTCATCTAGAAGATGAGGAATGGTCAAAGCTGTACTAGATTTGTACTCCTCAACTTTGACCCCCTAACTTTGCTCATCTATGCGATGACACATCTAAGTTGGTACAAAATCCCCAAGTTGCCCCTAGTTTAAACCAATATTTACATCCACTGCCACCTTCTCCGTCTCATCTCTCTCCTAACTCACCCAACAATCCAAGGGTTAAATCTGTCATTTCCTTCTCAAAAGTCAACATTTCTTTCTATAAAGATCTTTCTCACCGCTCCATTCCATTCAGCTGGTTCTTTACCATATTCCAAATTCAATAGTCTCAATATTTTTCTTTTCCAATAGTTCGTAATCTAGAATTACCTTCAACGGTTCGTATAGCTATAAATAAAACCACCAAAGCCTTCAAGATCCGACACGACACGACGTGGGAGGGTTTTTTTTTATTATTATTATTCGGAAACTTATGAAGAGAGAAAGAGAAGGAGGAGAATTTGAAGTTTTGGATATGGTAGATTGCTTAATGTTGCTATCCAAAATGGAGGAGCCACGGCGGAAGAACGGTTTCGCTCCGACGCCGGCGGCGGATTCCGACAAGATTTTTGTCTGTAAAACGTGTAATAGAGAATTCTCATCTTTCCAGGCTTTAGGAGGGCATAGAACCAGCCACACGAAGCCCAATTTCAACGCTAACGGCCCACCAACTAAGTCCAAGGCCCATGAATGCCCAATTTGTGGGCTTGATTTTCCGATTGGACAAGCGTTGGGCGGTCACATGAGGCGCCACCGGAACACCGCCGCCGCCGCCGTATTGAAGAAGTCCGATGGCTGTGGGAAAAGAGTTTTTGAGTTGGATTTGAACTTGCCGCCATTAGAGAACAATTTGAATTTGAAGTTGCAGCTGAGTTTATAGGATATTATTCAATTTTTTTAAATTCATTTTCCCTATGTTTATATTAATGGAGATTTAAATATGATTCAAATAAAATATTTTATTTAAATACATTATTATATATTAAAAAATGATTCAATTGGTTCTTTAAATTGCTTATAATAAATTTAATTTTTATTTGTACGTCTAATAAATCTCTAAATTTAAAAATAATAAATTTGAAATTTGGCCTCTTAATTGAATGTACGATGACATCACGCATTTACTAACCACTAATTAAAAAATTAAAGTTTTTTTTTTTTTTTTTTTTTTTTCATATGTCATCAATAATTATTTTATTATTGCATTCTTACATCAACAACTTGTAACTGTGGAGTAAGTACCCATTTATGTAAATTTGTTATAATTTTGTTCTAACATTTTTCTTCTTAATTAATTTTTGAAAAAACATTAAAAAGTATTTTTTTTTTTTTACGACATTCTTCTCTCAGGTATCATAAACAAAACCTTGAACCAAACGCTATTAAAAAAAAAATTATGGGTATAAAATATTGGAACTTTTGAGGTAAGGGTACATTAAGGTTTGCAAGGTTTTGGAGATTTATGAATGTGAGATTAATAGTTAAATATAGGAAAAAGTTAGTAAAAGGTGGAGAGCAAATGGAGCAACGAGTTATTGCTTGAAGCATATGCTTAGGAGATCCTCTTCTCCCACAACATCAAAACCAACCCTCTCCACCCTCCACCCTCCCATCTCTCCAAAGCTTCCATCTTTCTTGATCTTGTGGCACCATCCATGGCTTCCCCCTTCATGTCTCCTCCTCTCCTGCAGGGCAGATTCTCGATGGCTTCTCGGACGTTGGACGACCATGGAGTGGAGAAACGTGGACGTGGGTCTTGACCATTATGCGAACACGGTGGTGCGATCACGTGCATCGTTTTGGGCAACGAATACTCTTTGGCATAGTAGGATTGGTTAAACCAATAATGAAATCAATGTGTAGTGAAGAAGCTACCTTTTGTAAGGGATTGGAAGAGAGCTTGGTATTTTGTTGGTTTAATTTGCTCTCTCTTTGTTCTTCTCTTTGAGTAATGTTTTTGGTATGAAATATTTATTGGGGATTAATGATACTTCTATGAAATTTCCTTATAATAATTTACATTAATGAACAACATTGTTAAGAAAAAAAATAGAAGAAAATGAGCTTTTATTATTATTATTTATTATCATTATTTGATATATTATTTCGATTTTAGTTTCGGTTTTGCTCTAAATTTCAACAATTAAAGGGCTATATATATTATTTGTGTATGGCTCTCTATCATGTTAAAGTTTCACTTAAAGGACTAGAGTAACTCATTCTCGAGGTGGAAACTTCAATTCGAGTCTTGGGTCTTGATTCTCGAGATGAGCTTCAATTGATCTTCGAGTCTTGGGTCTCGATTCTTGAAATCTTGAGATGGAAGCTTCAATCAAATCTTAATGATCTTTGAGTCTTGGGTCTTGATTCTTGAGATGGAAGCTTCAATCAATTTTAATGATCTTCGAGTCTTGATCTTGTCTCTTGTTACTTACGAACATTTTCTGAAGTAAACA